CCATATTTGTTACCTCGTCTCACTCAAAAGCAGAAACACTTAACTAAAAAGACAAATATATACATCATATTATATAGACAACATGGACATTAGCACTACCACGAGCAGGGCAGATAGACTAATCAGCTTCCATTAATCTTTCTGTTTGTGACTCGACAACTCCGGTGCCTCGAGTAATGACGATGACGCTGTGGGGACGGTTGAAAGGACCCAAACACAAACCGAATGTTGCCTCTCTACTCCTCTGTTTGACCCTGCTCTAACTCTGTCGCCTGGTGTAGGCACGCGCTTGCGTTTTTTTTGAACAAACTGTTATTTCCAGAGCCAGAGCCACCGGCGATTCATTTGTTCACTGTATGTATTTATGATTACCATCGTCGTCGGCAGTAACAGAGGAAACGATTGGCTTCTATGACGCTGTTAGAAACTGTGCTCTCAGAAAGAGCATTAAAGCTAATTTATGAATCTGGTCCTATTCGAACATTCTCAATCATCGGGCGACCCTCTATAAATGAATCGCCGCATGTTCCGTTGGCAATTTAGGCTAATTGTTAGCTATAAATTACTGTGAGTGTTTACGGCAGGTAGGCCGCGCTGGGGGGACAGTAGAAGACTGCATAATATATATACTGTATAGAGGTGAGATCGTCGCTAATGGATCGTAATTGAATAACTAATATCTAGTATAGTTATGTTGTTATAGAGCAAGAAGATCAGCGACATGATTGATGTTTCGGTTTCAGAGAATGCACGTACGTACGTACATACAGAATTATAATATGGATATCAGTACACGTATGTCGGAGAACACTTAGAAACTATTATGGGAAACGAAATCAGTTATACCGCCTGTATATTTGACAATTATAGGCAGTTTACTAGCAGCTATACAGGCTCCACCTGTAGTATAGAAGATGGAGCGTTCAGTGAACGCCTATTATATGACAGCGTTATTTATTCATGCGATTTATGTAAAAGTGAGAACATATAAATTTAGTAAGCTTATGTCTAAAACAGAAAATGAAAGGAGTGTCTTAACAACTAAAAGATATCGGGATCACAATGATTAAAATGCATCTATGGAAGGCGTTATCTCGTGCGTCGTCAAAACGTGCAAGTAGATCACATCGTTCCGCTATAATTAGTGAAACGTTTCCCTTTACTTTACTAGAAGTGGACGAGATCTATTAGATAATATCTTAGTTGTCGTTAACAGTATATATGATGCTCCTACTAATGGTTAAAATTTGAAAAGTCATTGCACAATGCCAAAAAAATCCAGTACACTAATAGATGGTCTGATTAGGTTTCAGTACGTAGTTTACACTTTGAGGCTACTACAATCACTGTTTCAGCATGCTCCTTATATAGATGACCAATAGACTTCACCCTTGTACCTGACATACATTGGTTCAGTATTGATTTAGCAAAGTAATAGTTAGCCTGCTTGCTGCAACAAGGCGCATTCGATAGGACAAAAATTCTCTGTTTAACAACAATGATTCAATTAGCTTGAAAAGTGAAGCTTTGCCCAGTGCGGAACAGTCTGTGTAAAGCGAAAAATCAACAGAGTTCTCGACAGAAAGTCTAAGGCCCAGAGTGTGGCCTGGAAAATAGCTTATTTTGGAAGCGTACGGAAGGATTTAACAGAAATGAAGGAACCAACAAGGAGTCATCGACGTAGCTCGATGTTATGGGTAAACTGTGACTTCCATTGTTTTGTGGAAATGAAAGACAACTGGCATAAATAAATACATTTTACTATAATGATCGGACGCAAGGATCATTTTGAAAATTTGTCCGGTAATCATTCTAACTGGTCTAGGACTAGCATTCGGTAACGACAAATTTCAGACTACCCAGCTTGGTATATTTATTTAAGAATTCGCCATAGAACCAATTTCGACAAGTTTCACACAAATTTATACCAATTTAAATTGGAAGCAAAAATAATTAAACAGATCATAATTACCCTAATGGTATAAAAATAGCTGGGAATAATACGATAGATGATCTCAACTATGCATTAAGACATAGCGATATAGCTTGTACAGAAAAAAAAAAAGCATACCTTTATGGAATCTTCCCTGCTGCTGAACCCTTGAGCTTTAGAAGGCATTGATAGAATCCTCTAACCGGTTGGTTCTGTCCTTCGGAAGTCGCCGAAGCTTAAAAAAATGTAAATTTTCTTTACCAAATAGGTGGACACATAACATTAAATTAAGGTCCCCCGGGACGTCATTAAACCATAAGTTTTTTCGCCTTTTCTTTTCCTTTGTTACTTTCTACTAAATAAGGACCGTATATATAGATATATATTCTCTATTCTGGTGATATAGTAAGTGTATATATACATATCATCGAATAAAATATATGTATACATTTCGTGATATGTGGATTTTTTCCTTTTTAATTGGAGGTTAACAAAAACGTTCCCTTTGGTTTTTCACCTTTCCTACAAAAATCAAATAAACATTTCTTATGCTTTAATATAACTCTGTTCCTGGAACGTCACCAAGGCTTAAAAGGTCTTCTAATTAATTTTCCTTTCTGAATAAACGACTCGTTCCATATAGTGCATTGACTGAAGGCACATATTCGTTATACCTCTGCTGGCATATTTGTTTTGTATTTGGAGCGCGACCAAAACTTTAGAGTTTTTATTGCAATAGATGAAATGTGTCGTCCTTTTTTTTTTTTTTTTTTTTTGAGATTACAAATGATCTTTTTTCTGAAAATGACTTACGAAGAAAATTCAACCGAACAGTAGCCTATTCGGAAAAAACACTTAAAACCTCACCCCCAGATCCACTGACACCCATCGGTTGACTTGCGGTTTTTGATTCGGGTTTTTACAATTTTTACTTAGAAAAATCAGTTTTACGTTTAAGTATTGCATTGAATTTTATTCAGCCCGTCGAGAGCGTTCAATTAGTACCAGTAAATACATCCTAAACATGCACTTTATGTAAAAAAATGTTTATCCTGGTGTTAGACAAGCGAAAAACCTGCCACATTCGACCGAAATCTGCATCCTAGCTGTAGGAAAATGTATAGCTACCCTGCATTTTCCTTCACCTCGTCAAGGTCTATCGATTGGTGTAAGAAAGTTGGTATCAAGAGTAACCTAAAATAAAATTGCAAAAAAACAAAGATTGATGGAACCATATTTATCTTGTAACGATTTCACCAGCACCGCTTCAGACATAGCCAATACAATATTTCCTTAATGAGACACTACTGGGATAAAGGAGATTAGAGGTCGTTTTCCTCCCTTAATTTACATGTCTAAATTCGCTTTATCTACATTAAAGCCACATGAAAAGTGTCCTGGTACATCTATAATAGACCACCTGTAGATCAGTTTTTCTGTAATGTGATAGCGCTGCCCACTCCTGAGAAAAAATCGCTCAAGATTTCATGGAGGATGTCGATACAGCGGTAGGACCCTGGGCTTCTGAGGATGTCTGATACTTCTGAATGTGTTGTTTCCGAAGCCTTTCGAATGTGGCCTTCGAGGTGGCTTTTTAAAACGGTTTCACGAATATCAAGGAGCTAAATAGGGTAGCAAAATAGTTCAGATACGAGCGTTAAACTGTCCTGTTCTGTCAAAAACGGATGTCTACCAGATCGAAGATGCGTTACTCTCTTTTAATGTACCTTGCTCTTAGGCTCTGACACAGTTTCTAAATACTTCCCGGTATTACTAGCATGTTATTTGCTCAGTGAAATGGCAACAGCCTCACGTATTACTGCTGAGTGTATACTGTGTGTTTCACGTATGGCCATGGACACGAAGCATTCAGGGGCGAGTTAAATACCTAGATAATTTAAACATTTTGATAATTCAATTACATTACTTGAGTTCAGTATTTATGTAGCTCTTTGCATCCTTGGACGTTTTTATCATACCTATAATTCTTTACTTGGTATCGATACCGACGGCGGTCGACGTTTTCTTATGATTTGATTTTAATTTGCGCGTATCACGCGTGTGACGCCTTGCAAGCCGTAAAAGTTCCGCCAGCAGCTCTCTAGTTGACTTTATCTGGATTACTGGATTTTATTCGAACTAAAAGACAGACAAACCCAGCTGGAGCCAGGCGCGGAAAAGTAAAACGAAAATCAACGACCATCGCTTGGATATACGCCATTATTGTCCCCTCTTATCATGACAATAGTTTCTCCAAAATTCGAGTATCCTTTAATAAATAGAACAGGTAGTCTGAACGATATAACGCGTTTGGTTACATTCCACACTATAATTATAAGGTTTTCTGAGCCAAAGGTACAAAGCGATCAATCAAACTCATCTATTCATTTGTGTTGTCAGATTCTATTCTCAGACCCATCTGGAAAATCAATATATTTCCTGAGTATAAATACTTACCAATATCTGTATCTAAAAACCAACTTTACCTTATCAATTTAAACGCGTAAAGGCGCTTATTTCTAGACGCATTCTAGACAATCTCAAACATGATCTAGACAATTCGGCCAGGCTTATTTTGAGACGAAAGCTCCATAATGTAAATAGACGAAACGAAAAACTCATAGACGCTATAGAGGTCGAACTTCGTTAACCCCGCATGTCGAGCACTTAGGTTGCTTAGTAACTTCAGTTGATGAAATTGGCTTCGTAGCTTGCAATCCGTGCGAGAAAGACCTATACCGAAGTGCTAACAGATGCTTTGTTCGATATTGTTCAATAATATCAGCTGGTTTTATGGCACACGAGAGCTTTAAATTAGCGGGCCCTTGGCCTTTTATTTTCGACACTCAATTTTTCCGATTTCCCGAGTACTGTTCATTACTCTCTCTCTTGCCACGCACATTCACAGATTTTTTAAAAGTGAGCTTTAGCTAGAAACAAGTTCTTCAATAGCCTCTTCGTGTCCTTTTTTCTCCCTTTCAATATATGGATCGCAGAAACAACTCTAAGTCGTAACATTATCTTGAGACAAAGACCATATTCTTCACACTTCCTGCTCTAAAGCCACTATTCTTGAAAGAATGCCTCAAGAAATGAAACGTTATGGAGTTTGTCATGAAAAATTGAAAAAACTGCCATGAAAAATTGACTTAAAACCATTTACACTCGTATCATCTACTAAATTAGATGTTGGGACAATTAATCATCAATGAGGTGTAAAAACAAAGTTAAGAATATGGTGACTGGATATCAAAGTGCAGCTGGGTGGCAGCCCACGGTTGATTGATGTTTGATTAATTATGACAAAAGTGGACCCTGAAGAATCTACAACAGACCGAACTCCTGCATCAAATCATGGTACGCATCAGTGACTCAGTAAACGAAAGACGTACTTTTGCAGGATACTGATATATACAGCATGCGTATCTCAGTTGAATCGAGGTGAAGTAAACGTCTTCGCTTGTTCGCGTAATGTATACAAATACATAAAAATAAGTAATAATTATTGCGAAAAACTCGTGAAAATCTATTGTTCTTACGCTTTCGCACCTCGATTCATAGTTTGCTTCAATATAAACATTCTGCCGATAGTTTGGCGTGTGGCGAAATGCTTGTGCATTCAGCGGTTTCAATGAGCGCACTGTAAATAAGCCTGGCACAATATCAAACAGCAGTGTTGATGCCGGTTTCGCCTATTTTACAGAGTTGGTGCCATGTTCGTCGCAGGAGCTCCTACCGGGAGAAAAACGAACAGAGTTTTTGGTCGTGGCGGAGGCGAAAAAAAAGAGGATATTCGAGGGACCTGTGATGAAAGAAGTCGACAAAGCGCTTCCCGGGTGAGTGAAGTTAGCGGCAGCTCTGCGTGCTGCCCCATCAACAGAACGATTTGTGCGTTCGTCGTGCAGTAAGCTCATGCACAAGAGACTGCCGCGCTAACGACAGCCATTCTAATGTGCTTGCACGATGCTCTGACGCGTGTACGAAATGGGATCATTTGCTGAACTAGACAGTTGGTCATTTTAAAGGCATGGCGGATGGGTTCTTTATAACGAGCTTCAGTGTATGATTTGTCGTTTAATGCGCTAAAGTTGCAAAAGTATGTAGTAAAGATGGCCGGTAAAATTGTTTTGTCCTATTTGTCAGAATAACATTGTGATAGGTTACTCTGACCACTGCAGCTTTGCTACAGCTACAATTTTTCTTAATATTTTTGTTTTATTCATTCAGAGCGTTTCATCAGGCTCGCAAATTGCTTCATATATTTGCAAAGGCCAATGGTTTGCCTGAGCTGACGCGTTATCCACGCGAACATCACATCTGCCTGCAGGTTAATCTTCTTGCTCTTGAATTTAGCCGGGGCATAAAACAGTATGATCTATCGTATATTCTTCTACGAGAGGGCTTCGAAAATATGTGGTATTTGATGGAGTACTGCAGGCCAACCAGTACGCGAGATTCTGCGGTAAGCGCTTTTCAACCGAACGCTTAATTTGCGCGTCGTTTGCAGATTTACACTCATGAGGTTAGGACATTGAAACAGTTGCGGTTTCCGATTGGGTCATCTGACATGATGACAGATATGATCCGATATCCCCTTTTAGGCACATGTGTCGTACGTTTTTTGATTCTGTCGAAAAATATGATCTTCTAGTAGACTGTAACTTTAAGCTTCTAAGATGCAACTTTAGAGCAATTTAGTGTGCTTATTCGTTTGAGTTGGTCCCGTCGTCAGGCGTCTTTTGTAACAACCAAACCCTGCCGCGTTCTGTTACTTTAATTCTAAATAACTAATGTTTTTTTAATAAATAAATTTCCACAATAAATGTTGTGCTGTAAAACGTTTATAATACTTGCAGGCTACTTGCTTTAATAACAACAACAATAATAAAAATTGCTGACCACGCTTATCAGTTTATATATATATATAAACTGATAAGCATATATATATATATATATATATATATATATATATATATATATATACAAAGTATAATTTTGCATTTGGATACTCAATGGAGGAATTGATTTAAGTTAAGCACACACATACTTGACTGACCAAAGAGTAGATATCCATCTTACATGCATAGTAGTAACTTTTGGCCATACTGCTCGTAACCAAATTGTGCTCCCTGGCAGATTGCGGCTCGGCTAACCCGAAAGCTCATTTTAATAATGGAAAGAATTTCGGGCGTTCTGGAAGACTACAGCGGGGTGAATCAAACAAACTGGGTTAAGGTCGCAGAAGTGTTTCACGGCGAAGCTAAGAGCAGCACCCACGACTTGCCACCGTATAAGCCAGCGAAGTTCAAATACTTCACCATAAACCGGCTGTTAGGATCAGGTGGCTTTGGAACAATTTATAAAGCTCATCTGGGTGAAGTGGTCTGCACAATTAAAATCATCCCCTGCGAACTTTTAACTGAGGCAAAACATGCCTGCGTGGATAAGCTAGTCGCATCAATGATCAACAGCCCGTTCTTAGTAAGGTACTTTGCATGCTTTTCGACGAAGCAAGCTTTTATCACGGCCATGGAATACATTAGAGGTTGCGATCTCGGAAAACTCCTCAAAGTAGCTCGCTCCATTCCAGAAGATATTTTGCGTATCATTATAGCGCAACTTGGAGAAGCCCTTGAACATATGCATACTAAAGGATTTATTCACAGAGATGTAAAGGTAAGAGCTTGTGAGCATATCGATTTCAGATCTCTTCTTTGAAATGGGATCATTGTTTGGCACAGATCCGAGCGGCATCAATAGTACGAGCTCAAAGAGAACTAGCTCTGTAGCATAACGGGAATTCAATTGTCCTCGTTGAAAGCAAGGAATCCACAGTACGCCCAGCAGAAGATACGTCAGCTTAACATGATTGCACTATAGAACTGCAATAGTATGAAGGCACAGCATTTCCTATAATGGCCCCTGCAGAGTTTCTGATTTGTTGTGTTCGGTTTCATGTCTTGTGCCGGCTAGAAATGATTTAACATATTTTGGACCGATAGGAAGAGACAGAAAAGAATCCAGGTTGTATGATTGTTGAAGGGCTGGCAGCTCGGCTACGTCGTAGTCGATTGTAACCGGGTTGTTTTGCAGGATGGCCTTTATGATCGTATATGCATTCACATGTAGGCGAACGTGCGGTAGGAAAGACGAACGAACGTGGGCTTGTCTTACAGCCGGCGAACTTGCTCATGTCGATTGGATGTCGAGTAAAATTGATCGACTTCGATACAGCGAAAACATGCATTGGTAAGTTCGTGAAGAAAAGCCAGACTTGCTTCAACATACGAACCCCTGCGGAGTTCTTCGATAGTCAGATAGCGGGGACGGTTCCATATTTGGCACCCGAATGTGTTACCTATAGGGGATATGGACGTGCAATGGACTGGTGAGTGTGAGAGTCCATCTATTATTATATAACAAATACCGAAATAGGCATTGTACGTGCTACAGTATTTTATTAAAAAAAAGATTAATTTTTACTTCATTGCAATGTTTAAGAAGATTAGCGTTTGCGTACGTTTTAACGTTAGCTGAGCTAAACTCAGACTGCTTACGCAATAGATAAAAAAAAAAAAAAAAAAAAAAAAAAAACTCACGACGTACAGAAAAAGTAACAGGGGCTAAGACCTTTAGGTGGGCTGCCGGCGTGACAACTTTCCACTTGGCAACGGGTCGCTTGCCATTTCAACGGTTTCGCACACAGGAAGAACTTCAGCGCATGATTGCTGCCGGCTTTTACCGATGGCCAAAGGACAAAGTGATTAGTCACGACCTGCAAGAGTTTGTCAATGCTTTAATGCAGAAAAAACCTCCAGGTAAATACAGTTTTTACTTTTGTATACAATAACCGAGAGCAGGAAAACCAGCGCGCATGTTGTGCGCAGACAATCGCAATATAGCTTTGTCTTTATTATGGGCAATGTTTGTCGTTTCAGAGCGACTGTGTTCCCATCAGTACCTGGATTTTCGCATTCATCCTTTCTTTTCGGGAGTAGAATGGCGTAAACTCTCCACAACCGATAACCTTAAGGTGAGGTGATAATTGCCTGATGTTAGAATGCCTTTTGGAGGGCATGAATGGCAAGTGTTGTCTTAGCGCAGGCATAAAAATCCTAGAAGATCACTAGAATGCAGCGGTGTTTTTTCGAGGCTTCGATCGTCCTTTCACCATAGCCACCGTGCGCTAAATAATTAGGTAGTGATTACACGAGAAAGCCACCATAATTTTGGAGGCTAGAATCACTAGAGATTCGAAGGAAAATTTGTTCCAGAGGAAATTTAATTTCCGGAGTCGAACTAGCAACCGTAACCTCAGTTGCATCAAACCCAGGCTACCTAGCAGCGACCTTAATTATCGGAATCCCAACCCGACCAAAACGTTCCGTATAAGGCGCTAAAACTTGTCACTTGTAACTCTCGGACGTTTTAGGGTGAACAAAAACAAGAAAACTATAATACTGCCTTAGAAATGAAAATCGTTGTTAGCGCTGCTACCTACGTACGGTTAGATAGCTCTAAAAATATATTTAACCATACGTTTTTTTTGTATTTTAAATATATTTAAAATAATATAAATAAATAAAATAGAAATTTCTATCTCCGTAATACAACGAGAGATGTATCTCGTTCGGTTAAAAGTATTCTAATTCTTCTTAACATTTGAAGGAGTACCCGATTCTCAAGAAATGTTTGGGTAAAACCGTAAGTGGATATTCACCTATTGGCTCGGTAGCGAGCGGCAGTCGAAGATACCACATCTCTCCTGCTAATATTGTCGTACGTATGGTATTCCTGCTTAATTGTATGATAATTCCCATTATGACGTTTACCTTTATCCTGAAAACGTTTTGAAAAAATGTACACAGAGTCGTTTTTAAGCTTTAGATATATCATTATATAAACATTTCTATATTTCTCTGGTATCGGATGATCATCGCAGGACACGAATGATCATAGCAACTTGTACACCTATTGCTCGGCTGGTTTTATTCGAGTTATGAACGAGCTCAACAATGGTCGTATGCCAACCATTGAGACGATCACGGATCCGTATGATAACTCCGATGATCCTGAACCCGAATACATATTCGAGAGGTTTCTGATTTTTTGATGGATTGGATAGTTCATTAATTAATAATAAACTGTTACTTCCAAATAAATGTATTGTGTAATTATTTTGTACAAGATCGTACGTTTAAATAGCGTGCCTGGCATCAGGTGAAAATAGTATTATGATAGTTTTTGCTGTCTCACCTCATGTTATTTATTGGCCAAATGACGAAGCAGTTATTGTTCACAGAGCACATAGATGGGCTATTGCCGCTGGCCTACCATCGATCGCGGGTATCGGCATGAATGCGGGTAATACACTGATGTTAGCTCTACCCTATAAAATCCTCCAACTGTAAATTATTAATTTACTAGTGTTCTAGTAAAATAAACTAGTGTTCATGAGGATAAAGATACTCATAAGCATGGAACTGTTTAGCTAGTTGTCGTAGAACAAGCATAAAGGAACTAGGGAAAGGCCCATATGTGTACGTGAAAACTATTGTGGTTTTGCTAAGAATCAGTTGCTATAATTTTTCCCGAAAATAGACGATCCTCAAGTCAGAAGGTACGTGTCTGCCTTATTTCCGGCGTGACACATCAACGCTCACTGGTGGCGTAGTTCCCCTTGGGATCTAATTGTTATGAGGTAATCTGCAAAGACGTGACTGGTTATAAGCAGAGCCGGTTGTATTGGCAATCATAATATTGACTAACCGACAGGCCCATGTCTTTCTTTCGTCATGGGTTTCTCTTGAGAATGCCAAAATGAATACTGTCAAATTCTGATTTATCCTCTGTAACGTCAGTAATTCTACTAAATCAATGAGGTTCTACTTAAATTCACGAGCTTAAGGTGAAACGTTTTGAAGGCGTAATTTGCCGCTTAGTTTGTACAAACTATAAATAATAATGGCTGTGGTATAGCTGAAAGAATAATATTGGGAGTCGAACTAAATTATATCTACTAATTACTAATTTAATACAAAATTTTTGGTTTTGAAGGTACATTGGCATTGCCGATTTTAAACATGAAAAGATCACGCTTATTTCAAAATTTGCTAAAATGTTTCGAAGTGCACTAATCACTCTGTCTATCGATATATTTGAAACTCGGTTTTTTGAAATTTTGAATTTTGAAATTAAGCTATTACATATGAAATCTCAAAAGCGTAAGTATACAATATTGACATCTCTAAACATAACTTTTCTACACTCGGGAGAATCAGGCTTCACCGACACGACGGATTAAGGGGCTATATGACATAACTTGTCTGCGTGTTTTGGTTAGTGCTTGAACAGCGCGTCGATCTATGGTTAAACAACTTGTGCTAGACCGCTGATAGCGAGCAGCTGTGTATTATGCAGGCCTGTAAAAGTTATTAGAATAGTAGGAGGTGCAGTCACTGGGGTGGTTGCCACCGCGCCGATGGCCAGCGACCGATTGCGCACCTTGTATTAGTAGCGTCCGAAACAAGATGTCGGTATCCGTGTATAGCCTTCGGCTATCTCTTCTCATGTATTAAATGCCGCATATAATAATGCCCATAACATTGCCGATAAGAATAAGCCAGCTCAGGGGCAAATAGTCTGTTAAGGACCAGATGTCGAGACAGGCAAGCTCAGGATAATCATAAATCGGTGTACAGAATAATAGTGGGTAGTGGACGAAAGTAACGTTTTTCTAAGTTGCATTAAACTGTTGTTCTCTAAAGCCGTCATCGTTAACTGCTAAAGAGCTCTCGCTTGGTCGTGCAGGCTGAAAAAGGCAAACAAAATACGACCGAAATAGTGGATTGTTTAGAAATTGCAAAAAGTAAAATGCGATCTCAAAGGTCAAAATAGGCTTCCTTTCGTTAGTTAGAAACTGCGCAGTTTCGTTTATCTGACGTGAATATAGTTACCCTTTTACTTGTCCTAAAGTAGCCTGCATGTTACAACAGCTATCGACCGTGTCAGCTGTATTTGCGTGAAAAGACTTCAGCAATTACATGTAGCAATTACATGGAGAAGAACATCATTTGCCCTCATTTGATGAAATTATAGACTCTGTCATCAGCACTTCCGCCAACCAAAAGCTAAACATTAGATCCATGCACCGCGCATCTACACCCATGCTATATCGTATTTGAAACGCTCTTTCGAACGTACGGTGGCTTCGGCCTTCTAGGTAACACGCGGACCCAGCGTTTTATTGAAAATGTTCTTTTTCGAAATCAACATTTACTACTTTTGCCACTTGTCTCACCTAATGGAAGCACTGCAATGACGGGTAGTGCATAAACACATTTTCTAAGGCAAAAATGGCTTTGGTATCCAAAAATTTTGTGTCAGCTCTTTCAAACGGCTACAGATCTATTTCAGTATATATATATATATATATATATATATATATATATATATATATACCAGTTATGCCCAGACCGTTACCGCATTTGGCCCAAATACCAATCTAGTAAAGTTTCCCTATTGGTTGAAATAGCTCATCACACTACTTACCTTTCCACGAGTTTTTTTTTTTTAGCGTCAAATCACATAAGCCGCTGTAAAAAGCAAACTGTGATAAAAACCAATAGTAATGGGTGCGTATATGTACAAAAATGGGGCTCAATCTTGAACCCACTTTTGATTGTGCTTGTGACATTATTGGCTTGACAGTGGGTGCGCCGTACACTTCTTATCTTCTAGATTACGCATCATTAGCTAATTGTAAAACATCCTAGTTTAAGACCGCAAAGTTTCTTATATTTATTCCCCATTGTTAATGTAAATTAAACATACGTTATAAAAACTAACACGAGACCGTTGAAGTAACTTCAGAGTCTATTCTGAAATGACATACTACCGAGGTAATAAAATGGGAAACAATGGGAGCGATTCACATGTTGATCATTTGAAACGTCCGTTTCCGCTACTGCATAACGAAATGTAGGTCATTAGAGATGTTGACCAAGGGTACGATTCTTTGAAGACAAACCACGATACACTGTTTATAAGATAGTTGAGATAATTTTTTTTTTTTAATTACATTTCAGTCTGATAACAGAAGTCAAAGGTTTCATCAAACGCTGCAGCTAAGATAATATTTACGTGCTTGTATATTACATTTCAATATACTTAGAATCATCTATCGTGACATATTCCGTCCATAATGTTACACCTGCAGGGTAGCTCAATCGAGAGCTAACTAATATCAGTTGCGTTCTTTGTTTTTTTTTCATTTTCTTTCCTTTTTTTTTTTGCTTACCTTTACTACTGTGCTTTCTACTACGACAGTTTCATTGGGATAGGTTATAGCCTAGCTTCTCGGTACACTTTCTGGTCAGAAAACACATGTAAGACGAGGTTATTTCAATTGATTTACATTTTAACCTGTCTTTGTTTTACCTAATATTGAAGCTTAAGTAAACGCCCGCTAAAAAGTGATGTTGCGCTATAATTAGGATAAATATGCTTATTATATTACCGCAACGAGACTAAAACCGATGATTTATAACACAGCATTTACTTTTTTGGATACATATATCATACATATACATATATATATATATATATATGGATACATGCATTATATTATGAAGCCGTAACTTATTTTGGCGTGTTTATATACAACCGTTTTGACTAGACATAATAATGGTATTGTATGGTTGAATAGTTTGACCGTAGATTAAGTTTTCGTGACAATATATGACAATCGTTGCTCTGTATAATTTTAAGTACTTCTTGTATGTCCTAGTATTGGATATCCAAATTGTGTGATCTATATGGACTTCTACTAATTCCGACTTTTTAAATGAATGAGCAAACTCCGATGAATGAGAATCCGGAATTTCTCATATTTTGGTTACCATATCTATAGTGTGCAATGGAACATATTTTGTTGACATTCTCACAATCACTTTAGCTCTCCCGACAGGTCATCACTACCAAAGGCCAGTAGGTGTACGAGGCCAATTTCGAAGAAATCACATGACAAGAGGTCAAATATTTGAGAGCTCAAGAACGAGCAATAGAATTCATAACAAGTTGAAAAGTAAAGTCAAAACCTTAACAAGAAATTATTCTTGTTTAAGTTATCAGCAAAACAATTCGAATTTTAAAAAAAAATAGTTTTTGGGCCACTTTCCTAAGCATCGGCCTCCACCCACTTTCGTCATAAAAATAGATTGATCATCTATTTACAAAGGTAGCGTCTTCGGAATAAAATTTAAAATGTTTTTCTTGCCTGAAACATGTTTTAATCATCAGATTGTCAAGCTGCAGGGAGGCCTGACCTTCACTACTCCTTTCAAATACATTGTTTTTTGTAGATAACGCTACCTTACTACTACTGCTCGGTAAAGAAATATATATATATATATATATATATATATATATATTTAAGTTTGCGGGATGCTGCACACTTGTCTACTTTTTCTAATTAATATACCAAAATTGGGCAATTTGGCCACTCCTCTATTCCACCATCACGTACTTTTCATCGATATTAAAAACAGATTCTTCCCACAAATGCTGCATCAGAGTTTGACATGATATGTAGGCCTTCTAAAGACACCTATATTTTGGTAGTTAAGAAAGACCTATATATTCGCATTCGAAGCATTTGTAGTCGGTTATCATAAGAAGCTATAGTGTGTTTCCACACTATATACGGAGCCCCTTTGCGCAAAATTAAGACTTTAAGCTAACATAATTTCACCTAGGTAATTTGCCCATAAAGATTCAAAGAAGTATACAGTACCGCTCAAAAACTTCAGTCCTTATGTTTTTCTCTAGAAGCAAATAGAGATTGCTTCAGTTGGCCTACAATCTCTATTGCATTAACAAATAAATTATTCAACAAAATTCTGACTATTCTATGTTATAACTGCGAGCTGTTGAAATTATCGTTTGCCTGAACCGCAATTCGGACTTCTTTCGTTCCCTATTATCTCTACGTTTGTCATATATTTTTCAATTTGTACACATTTGTTACGCTTCAGCACCTACTTTACATATATAGTTTTAGATTGTTAGATACTGTAATATATATACATATATATGTAGTTTACCCAGTGACCTCTATAACTTATTTGCCGAATACTGT